CATATTACTATTTGTGTCAGATACTGTTTTTCAACCACATTTTTCTCATCTTTTTTCCCACCTAAAGATGCCTGCTTGAGTGAGCCACTTTGACTTGAGCAGTTGGGTAAACTAATAAGGCAGCACATCAGCCTCACAATTTTTATAAATGACTATGACTTTTCATTGGCTGCTTTGCTCGGAATGTGTAAATTATTTTTATTTTACCGCATTAAGTGCGATTACACTGAATGAGCTGATAATTCTCCAGTTTTTCAGGGCTGCAATGGGCTATTATTCAGAATTGAATTTTTATTGACTTTTTTCCTGTACTATACACTTTCCATCCTAACATGAAAGTGTGAAAAGTGAGCAAGAAATTTACTGAAGCAGGTCAATAAATCTAGATGTCCTTAGTTTTCAAGCCATACCAACACGTGCTGCTAGAATCCCTGAATTCTTCTCCTTATGCCATGGAAGCTTCTGTGACATATAAGATCTTGATGGTGCCCTTTCACAGCCTTGATAAAAAACAACTTCCATAGTCTTAATAAAAATACGTACTTTGGTTATTTCCATTTTAAGGATACATTTGCTTTCTCAAATACAATTTGCTTTAATGCCAAATACCTTCATTTTTTAAAAAATCTGTTTTCTGCATACCAGGGAGGATAAAAGAGAAGGCATGCGGGATAGGGAAGGGTCTCTAACACTGTTAAGAGATGGTCTGCCTTTCTGAAGGTGGGATCAAATTGGCCACCTGCCTCCTTTTGAAAAAGAGTTTGAATCAGTTTATAGTTAAGGTTGCTAGAGAAGTATAAGGGATTCATGTATACATATGCTAAACATATGTATAGGAACATATATACCTAGGAACTGGGTAAACTGGTTTGAATCATGCAGTGGTTCTGCAATCAAGGAGAAATAGGTTGGCAGAGTGAAGAAACAGGGCCCTTGTTGTTATATCCTGCCAAGTTGTTTTCCACTCATGAGAACCCTATGAATTAATAACCTCCAAAAGGCATTGTCATTGAGTAACTGACTGTGGATTTACCTAACACTTGTTCTATGATAACGTAACTTTTATTGACATAAAAACGTATAGCATACAGCAGTCCTCGGATAGATGGGGGTATACACCCCATATGAAACAGATCAAATATCCTCAATGCAACTCAGATAGATGGGGGTATGCACCCCATATGAGACAGATCAAATATCCTCAATGCAAGCAAAATATAGCAGTGCATAGTTGGTTTCAAGATAACACCTAGCCAGTGCCCATGATCTGTAACATATACAGAAAGGAATAATTAATTGCATCCACTTGTTCCATCTAGCCTAGACCTAGTTATTTTGCTAACCAGAATATAATGGGGCACCTTGTCAAAGGCATTGCTGAAGTCAAGATGTATTACATCTATAGCATTCCCAATGTCTTGCAGGGAAGTTGCCCAATAAAAAATGAGATAGGATTAGTCTGATAGAATTTATTCTTGACAAATACATGTTGGCATCTGGTTATTACTGCATTGTTCCCAAGGTGCTCACAGGGTGACTGCTTTATAATCTGCTCAAAAATTTTCTCTGGGATTGATTCCAGGCTGACTATTCTGTAGTTCCCAGGTTCCTCTTTTTTGCGCTTTTTGCAGAAAATAACAACATTAACCCTTCTCAAATAAATTAGCATTTCACCCATCCTCCATGATTTAAGAAAATAATAGACAGTGTTTCAGATCTTTCAATACTCTTGGGAATAATTTAGCATTTCACCCATCCTCCATGATTTTAAGAAAATAATATACAGTGTTTCAGATCTTTCAATACTCTTGGAGAGGGGTCAGGGAATTTTTTTACCTTTTACCCCTCCCAAAAAAAATTTATATACGTTGACATTACCCCCCCTTGGCTCTCGCCGTCTGCAGCCGACCCCCCCGCCTCTGTGCTCGCCCGGGACCTGTGGCCACTGCCCGGGCAGCCAATCTGGAGCACCACGGCGCTGAGAAAGCGCTTCCTTGGCGAGGGGAGGCGGGTGCCGCAAGGCTGGCAGGTCCACTGTCCAGGAGCTCAGGTGAGGTGGGGTGGGAAGCGGGCCTTCTCGCCAGCACACCGGGTGAGTGGGCGCAGGCAGGAAGGAGAACCCTGGCTAGGACTCTGCTGGGCAAAGAGTCCAGCTGGCCTGGTACGCTGCCCTCCCCCCCACGTCAGAGGCAAGGTGGGCAGGTGGGTGCCCTGTGCAGTTCCTCACCAGGGCTTGCTCTCCCCGTGACGGAACACCCGCCTACACACAGCATTGTCAGAAATAAAATGCCTGGGGGTAAAATGCCTGCCACAACCATCCTCATTACCCCTAGGATTTTCATTTTTACCCCATTTGGGATAATTTACCCCTGTTCCCTGACCACTGCTCTTGGATGAGGTCACCAGGCCCTGTAGAGTTGAACTCATTCAAGGTACTAAAGGTATTCCTTATTTGTTTATCAATCTCAGACTGTAATCCTGCCCCCCTTCCATTGTGCTTCACATTTACCTGAAGGGTCACAGACTGTCATTTTTTGGGGGGGGGGGACTGAGCTAAAGTAACCGAGCTTTTCTGCTTTTTCTTTGTCATCTGTTACCTTTTTCTCGTGCCCCTGAATAGATGACCCACTATTTCTTTTCTCTGTCTTTCACTATACACACTTGAAAATGTTTTTTGGTTGCTTTCAGCATCTATTGCTAACGTCATCTCATTTTCAGCCTTTGCCTTCCTAATGCTGTCCCTTGCAAGAATGTTAGCAGTTAAATAAGAATATTGCAGAGGCACATTTGGGAGAATCAGGTGCATAGAGGTTGGAGCCTATGGGTTAAACTAGATGCTATGTGGAATATATATTTCCACCAATGAACCTCTATTTCCCCCCTCATTTTCCCTTCCTCAATGAAATTTCTTCAGAGACACATGCTTGGCAACCAGGCCTTCAGTTTAAGCTCATATTACATTCGAGTGACCAGTCACAAAACAAAGCACAGTAAATGTAAGTGAGGAAAATCACAGGCTGTGACAAACAAACATCTTTCACTGCTTCACAGAGCACCTGCCATAAAACTCTGTTGCATGCAAAGCAGGTTCTTTATCATTTAGTTCTATCCCTCCTCCAACTTTCATTTATTCAGTTGAAGTAAAATTAGATTAATTTCTGTTAAGAATTTCTCCCTGCTGTTAAGCCTGAAGCAGCTTTTCATTAATTTTTAAAAAAAAAGATTTAGAGCTAGAGTGAGAAAGACAAACACATGTAAGTGAGTGGGAGGATAGGGGAGGTAAATTATCCCGGAAAGGCATTCAAATTCAATATTAAAAAAGCATATTCTGACAGTTTCAGCTTCTCTTCAATGGAGGAAATGTTTAATCAGTTTGCAGACATGGAAGATGTGAAGTATAATCTTTAACATGGTTATTCATGATTAACCCTTAAAATCTGATTACACTAGCTTCCTAATAACTAAGTGTTGTATTACAGTATGAGAATACTTGCTCACATGTGTTTCTGTGTGTGTGATCCACACAGAGACATATAGTACAGTGGCTGTACTGGATATCTACAGGTTCTTTCCCAATTGGGAGAGTAGCAGATAGGAGATTCCTGCTATTATCTCACCTACAACCCCTGACCATCATCTGGCTCATAGATGGGACCTTGTCTCCAAACTTAAATAAAATTTCCCACACTCTGTGACACACCTGAATAATTAAACCCATGTCAGTTGCATAGTTATCTCTTTTATTAGGAAACAGCAAGGGCAAGCAATAGTTGTCATTGTTGTTGTTTAGTCGTTAAGTCATTTTCGACTCTTCGTGACCCCATAGACCAAAGCATGCCAGGCCCTCCTGTCTTCCACTGCCTCCTGGGGTTTGGTCAAATTCATGCTGGAAGTTTTGATGACACTGTCTCGATGTCCTCTGTTGTCCCCTTCTCGTCTTGCCTTTACACTTTCCCAACATCAGGGTCTTTTCCATGGAGTCTTCTCATGAGATGGCCAAAGTATTGGAGCCTCAGCTTCAGGATCTGTCCTTCCAGTGAGCACTCAGGGTTGATTTCCTTCAGAATTGATAGGTTCATTTTCCTTGCAGTCCAGGGGACTCTCAAGAGCCTCCTCCAGCACCACAATTCAAAAGCATCAATTCTTCAGCATTCAGCCTTCTTTATAGTCCAACTCTCACTTCCATACATAGCTACTGGAAAAATCATAGCTTTAACTATGCGGACTTTTGTTGGCAAGCTGATGTCTCTGCTTTTTAAGATGCTATCTAGGTTTGTCTTTGCTTTCCTCCCATGAAGCAAGTGCCTTTTAATTTTGTGGCTGCTGTCACCATCTGCAGTTATCATGGAGCCCAAGAAAGTAAAATCTGTCACTGCCTCCATCTCTTCCCCTTCTATTTGCCAGGAGGTGATGGGACCAGTGGCCGAGATCTTAGTTTTTGTATGTTGAGCTTGAGACCATTTTTTGCCCTCTCCTCTTTCACTCTCATTAAGAGGTTCTTTAATTCCTCCTCACTTTCTGCCATCAGAGTGATATCATCTGCATATCTGAGATTGTTGATATTTCTCCCAGCCCTCTTAATTCCAGCTTGGGATTCCTTCAGTCCAGCCTTTCACATGATGTATTCTGCATATAAATTAAATAAACAAGGACATGATATACAGCCTTGTCATACTCCTTTCCCAATTTTGAACCAATCAGTTGTTCCATATCCAGTTTTAACAGTTCTAACTGTCATAGCCATAGGTGAAGAATGTAGAGAACTGTACTGATGACATCTGAGGGCCACATGCCCAATTGCCATGATGAAATCCTTGCTAGATCAGTTTGTTTTAAGAGATTAAATACTGAAAATAAACAAACATTGTTTTTTATTTTCAGCAGGAGGAGCATAGATATTTAGGTACAACAGAGACTCAGTATGCTGTAATAGTTACAATATTGCATCTGGTTTGCAATCCACAGTCGCATTAACTCCTGCGTGTTCTCCTTCACCACAGATTTGCGCAAAAACTTTGAGCAAGACCCCCAAGGAAAGGAAGTTCCTATTGAAGGAATGATAGTACTACACTGTCGACCACCAGAGGGAGTGCCTGCAGCAGAGGTGAGAGCGAGACCTTTAGCATTTCATAAAAACGGGGTTTGCTGTGTGGTTTTTGGACAACCATTGTTTAATTCAGTTGCAGAGATATTCTAAAACCAAGGCAAGTGAAAGTATTCATTTCTGATTAATTCCCATGAATGTGATTTTTCCTTGGTCTCCAAGAGATGTTGGATATTTCCAAGTGTAATTTTTTCATATTCCACATTAAAACATGGTACCACTGGATGGGCTGTTTTGATCAGTCTACCATTTTGTGCTTTCCCTATATGTGCGTGTGTGCTTAACTCTACAAAGGAAAAAGACACTAATTTTGTGAAGAGACAAGTTTGGCAGAGAATGAACACATATTGGCTTCTACCCCTCTGCCAACCATGGTTGTGACTGAAATGTGAGAACATTTTGTTTGGACTGTCCACTCCTATCAGTAATGTCCTAGAGAATGCTATATTGACTGGTCATGGAATTATCAGAGATGCACTCCTGGGCATTTCTAATATCATCCTCATCCTCATCAGGAGTAGTAATGGAGGAACATTCCAATATATATTTCTCTTTGAAGAGTAAGACATGCTCACCAGGATTTGTTTTGTCATGTTTTGAGCTATTTTGTCGAGATAAAGTCTCAGAAACGGAACTGTAATGAACAGTTGGATGGCAAATAATATAAAGTGGTAGTTCTATCCCTCTGTAGAATTAAACCACTGTGAACACAAAGACTTATTAATCAGCTAAGGGTAGGCATGCAGCTCAGCAAAACAGCCTGCCAGCATTGGGTGATTTCTTTTTTGATCATTATTGCTCACAAGTTTTGAGGCATTCTGAACATTTCCTCAAGTTCTTTGTTCGGTCAGTTTATTTCAGAATTATAACACAATCTGAGGATAGTCAGCCTAGATCTGATGAACTGTAACTGCTATATTTGTTTCTCTTTGGAAATTTATCTTCTGTTCTCCCTGGGCAATCCATTCGCCTTCAGCTGAAAATAATACAAACAATACTGTGCACATTATTAAGATGCCTGCATAGGACCCTCCCTCCCTGTTCCGCCCCAACTGTATTATAGTTCTTGTCATTATCACCATCATCCAACTATGCATGGTTGTGCAAAGGCCCAACTATAATATCATTGCCTTTACATAATAAGTAGATGAAAAGCAATTAAAATCAGGGACCAGTTCTTAAAAATTACATCCTGATGGCTATCAGAATGAAATCCTCTTTTAAAACAGCAGCAGCAGCAACAACATAAATTCTTAAGGATCTTTCCAGGCCAATCTTGCTGAATATTACTCAGTAAAGCATGGTGTTTAAACTCAATCAGTAGAAAACAATACCTAATATGATGTCTTTTAGTTATTTTTGGACTACAATTCCTATAAAATCTGACCAATGGTTAAGCAGGCTAAGATTGATGGGACTTATAGTCCAATTCATTTAAAGGTATCTTGTTAGGGACTAACAGTTAGCCATGGCTCTTCAGGGTTAAAGACAGGAATTATTTTTTGTCCTAGCTGGAGATATTAGGAATCTGACTCGAAACCTTTTGCTTGCAAAGCATATGCTCTAAACAGACTGATCTATAATCTACATTTTTAAAAGAGAGGAGAAGCAACAATGATAATTTTCAGGTTTCTGGTTTTGATATGTTTCTGTTCAGGTTTCAGCCACTCAGTCTCAAACCAGCTGTTGTATCACAATTTCACACTAATGTAAGAGCTTACCTTGTATAACTAGGTAACAGTGATGTAGTTTGCACCTGCTGGTACTTGCCAGATGTATTGGGTTAAAACTCCCTCATCCTTCCCAGCTATACTGGCCAAGTGAACTGGTGATGTAGAGAGAGCATGTAATCCAGTATGACTAGAGGAGCGTTTCCTAACCTGGGAACCCAAGAGGGTTACAAAGTGTTTTCTGGGAGTTGTGGGATACCTTTGATGTTGTTGCCCTTGATGAATAATTTCTTCCTTGATCTTCTGGAGCCAGATATTAAAGTTAGTGTGTATTTGTTATACAGATTGTTTTTATAGCTAGTTACTTCTATGCTCTAGCCTCATTCAGATGCCTTTCTCATTACCCGCTACCTGACCCTTAAAATGAAGAAGCCAGTGGCCAGCCACGTGCAAAGTATTGGCTCTACCATGCTTCTTAAATGCCAGGATTGCTACTAATTTCAGTGACACTGGTTATATCAAAAGCTAGTGCTTATGTGATTTAATATAGGAGCCTCTCTTGCATAGGCAGAGATGTCCAGAAAAATGGAAAAGGGGTCCAGTGCTATCTAAACGCACAGCTGGAGGGGCAATGGTGCATGAATTGTGATGGTGTCTAGCCAGCTGCTCAAAACTCAAACACCAAGCCAACAACTCTGTTTATATTTCACAGTACTTTTCAAAAATCTAGCACTGCATTTATTAGATTATACTCTGCATTTTAGAACCTCCAGAAGTCCAAACATCTAAGAGCTGCTGCCATGATTATAGATGCATGGAAAGAAAGAAGTGTTATTACTCAAAGACTGGTTGCTTCTTATCTCAGTTCAGATTACCATGGTATCTATTAATTTGGTAGGCAGAAAAAATAGAAGAAAATCAACTGTAAAAAACAAGCAGCACATTCTGTTCGTTTGTCAGAAGGCCTGCTGAGTGTACGCCATTTGAAACTGGTTTATAGGATGAGTAATGAGGCAAACTGAGTAGGGGAGAAATCATGGAACCAGAGAGAATAGGCTGTTGTTGAGCTAGGATTATGAAAAGGCTGATTAGAAAGGAGAGGAATACTTGCTTAAGAGCCAAAGCAGATTGGCTGCACAGTTGTATTTAACATGTCCTCGTTGTTGTTGTTGTTGTTTTTTAAATAGTACTGTAGCTGTAAGGTGAACAAAGATTTTGGCCATGATATGTGAAAGGTGAGATGCTGTTAACAGTTTCTTCCTATGCAGCAATTCCAATGATTATTGCCTGGACCACATCCCATGTTTCTGTTTCTTCTGGAAGAAAAGCTGTAATGATATCAGAAACAGTTTTTCTTCTGCAATAAAAAGGAGCCCTTGCTGCTTCTCTCTGTTTGTTGCAGCCTTGACCTGATTAGGGGTGAGCAGGAGTTTCTCCTATTTACTTTTGATCAGAGGTTATCAAAGTGCACAGAATTTGCATGGTGCAGCAACTGAAACAAACAGATTTGCCCACCCCATAGGTGGCTGAGAATTTTGTTTGCTTGCTTGCTGTTTCATTATTTTTATATGAAGTTTATCAAAATTGGTAACACTATGGCCTTGAAGCTGTGGAAGGGTGATACCATTTGCCAGAGTTTAAGAAGACATGAAATCAGGATTGTAAATCTCACTCCATTTTATTTAATAATGTATATCCTGCCTTTTTGTGTCAGGGAGATTTAGAAAACTTGTTACCAAGGCAAATGGATTCGAAATCTCTCTCTTTCTTTGGTGTGTAGGGCTGGAATGCTAGGTCTGAAAATTAATTACAGTGGTGCCTCGCAAGATGAATTTAATTCGTTCCGCGGTTAATGTTGTCTTGCGAAAAATGTGTCTTGCAAAATGCATTTCCCCATAGGAATGCATTGACATCTAATTAATGCGTTTTTTGCCTGTGGGCAAAAAAAGATAGAGCAAAGTCAAATTTGGTTTACAAAGGTTTTAAGTTCTCTTTAAAGCCATACATATTGTGCAGATAATTTTAAAAATGTCAGTCAAAAAACTTTAACTTTTAAAACATCATAGAAAAACATTTAAAAATCAGCAAATATGAGGCAGGAACAAAAAATGGAAAACATTTGTCTTGCGAAGCACGGCCACAGGAACATTTGTCTTGCGAGTCATCAAAAAACACACACACACCCCACACTGCGAAATCCATTTGTCGTGCGAGTTTTTTGTCCTGCAAGGCATTTGTCTTGTGAGGCACCACTGTAAATACTATTAACTGTTAGAAACTGGAAAGTTGTGTTGTTAACTTTAAAAATGAAAAGGTTTAACACATCAAATTCTAAGTATTATCTTCCTACTTAAATTATTAGTTCTGTGAGATTTGCAATGTCCCTTCACTGTTGACCTGTAATGGCATATTTGCCATTGGTTTTGCCACAGGGTTTCTTCTTGTTGGGTTAAAATTCTCCTCTTTAATTTGGAATTTTCCCTAAACAGACCACAAATCTCACAATAGCCCTGAAATAGCCCTGCAGATGAGGGAACTTAGATTTTTGGAAGTGTCATCCATTCAACTTTTCATAATGGCTTTTAAAGTGGTGTTCTCTAGAAATCTGTGTGTAAGTGGCCAATATGGCTCTGTATGCAGCAGTGACTTATAGACTTGGCCTGTAGCTGAAGAAGGCTTGACCATTTGCCTAACTTTGCCAGGGCTCCTGAGAGTTTTAGCTGCAGTCTAATTTAGTATGGGAGTCATTACTTCTAAAACAATTACTTTCTGAAGGATTGTGGATGTTTTCTTCTTAACAGGAAGGAGGAGAATGTGCAGACATATGTGCTCTCTCCAGAGGCACAATGGTAAATGACAACTGAAATGGTTGGTAGTATTAATTTTAAAAGATTGGCTGGAATGTTATTGCTTAGTTTAGGATATCATGTTGCTGTTCTTTAACTGTTAAGTCGTGTCTGACTCTTTGTGACCCCATGGACCAAAGCATGCCAGGCCCTCCTGTCTTCTACCCGGAGTTTGGTCAAATTCATTTTGGTAGCTTCAATGACACTTTCCAACCATTTTATCCTCTGTCGTCCCCTTCTCCTCTTGCCTTCACTCTTTCCCAACATCAGGTCTTTTCCAGGGAGTCTTTTCTTCTCATGAGATGGCCAAAGTATTGAAGCCTCAGCTTCAGGATCTGTCCTTCCAGTGGACACTCCAGTGGATTTCCTTCAGAATGGATAGGTTTGTTCTTCCAGTCTATGGTACTCTCAAGAGTCTCCTCCAGCACCACAACTCAAAAGCATCAATTCTTTGGCAAGTCAGCCCTCTTTATGGTCCAGTTTA